AAAAATAAGAGGTATACGTATTTCAAATCGAAAAAAAAAATTTCGCCCTTACACCCTGGGACACCCTAATATATAATAAATACAAAAGTACGAAATAAAAATTATCGTGCCCATCTTATTGTTTTACTAGAAGATTCAGGGTTACAAAGAACTATTCTTCTAACGACTCTGGGATCCGGCGAGCGAAACTTCGGTGGTAAGGTTCATTACAGTCGTTGTCTTTAGTACTCTAGGTTTAACTAAACCCTTCCATCAGGTACAAATAGATGAATCTATTTACCTTAAGAATGCTCCAGCCACGTTTCATAGACTCATGAATTCGGTTTTAGGAGAACTAGTAGGTGTCGATTGTTTAGTTACACTTGGACGATATTATTGTATTTAGCACTTCACTGCAAAAACATATGCCGCCTTTAGAAAAAGCGTTTAAGAAATTAAAAAGTGCAAATCTTGAACCTTAAGTCAATAAATGTAAATTTCTTAAACACTAACCAGAATTTTTAGGTCACATAATAACTTTGAACGGAGTAAAACCTAATCAAAAAATAATAGAAGTCATTCAAAATTTCCCAATCTTAAAATCCGGTAAGGAAATAATACATTTCGCGGATTAACAGATTTTGACCGAAAATTTATAAAAGATTTCGCTGCAATAACTAAGCCATTAACTAAATATCTAAAGAAAGGGAAATATATCAGATTCTACGATAACGAATACATCAAAGCAATAGAAACAATTAAGATATTGATAATTAGTGATCCAGTATTAGTATCTCTGATTATGATAAAAAATTTATCCTAACAACAGACTCTTCAAGTTTTGCTATCAGCGCAGTTGTCAGTCAGGACAATCATCCTATCTGCTTCGCGAGTATAACCCTCAATGAACATGAGCTAAACTACTCAACAACAGAAAAGGAATTATTAGCTATAGTTTGGGCTACTAAGTATTTCTGTCTCTACTTGTACGGTAAAAACTTTATCAACAGCGATCATAGACCATTACAATAGTTACAAAATATTAAAGAACCAAATGCTCTCTCTAAATTGCTTTATTGAAATAGAAAAATAAATAGATAATTAATTGTCCTTAGTCACAGCTTCGTCCAATTTTGTTTTAATGTCGGGCATTATTCTTGAATAACCGGATTTATGTAGTTTCTTTTGAGTCGTTGAGTTCCAGTGCTTTAGATAAGTTTGTTTGCAAATCAGTTTTGTTGGTTCCTGAGTTTGATTTTGTACATTTGTGTGTTGCTGTCAATTTCATCTGTGAATGTGTTAATTCGAAGATCTCTATGAATATTCGCGTTTTTTGTATACCAGGGGGCACCAACTATTTGCCGGAGAATTTTTGATTGAGCTCTTTAGAGTTTTTCAATGTTTGATGGAGAAGCAGAGCTCCAGAGTTCAATTCCGTAGGTCCATATGGGTTTTATCATTGTATTGTAAAGTTGCACTTTATGGGTGAGATTAAGTTTCGAATTTTTGTTTATCAGCCAGTTTAGTTCTTGTTGCTTGAGTTTTAATTGGGTTACTTTGGTTTCTATGTCCTTTTTCTAAGTAAGCCTTCGTTCGAGGTGCATTCATAAGTATTTTGTGTCATTGCATTGTGGTATTACTTTCAAATTAATATAAAAGGCAAGGCAGGTATCTCGTCGTGGAGTGAAGTTTATGTGTGCGCTTTTCGATTCGTTAATTTTTATTCTTCAGAGATCGAGCCATTTTTGCAGTTTGTTGAGGTGATCTTGAACAGATTTTGTGGCTGTAAATGGATCGTCGCTATGGCTGAGGATGGCAGTGTCGTCCGCAACTGTTGATGTTGTTGTACAGTCACTGGTTGACAAATCTGCTGTGAAAATTAGGTGGAGCAAGAGGCCCAGTACACTACCTTAGGATGTTTTATAACAATTCTTCTTTTTGAGAGGTAGTTTTTGATAAGTGAGGAAATATTGTATGGTAAATGTTTTTTAAGTTTACAAAACAATCATTCGTACCAAACCTTGTCGAAGGCTTGAGTTATGTATAGAAATAGGCCTGAACAATACTGCCTCTTCCCAAATGTTTCCTTAATTACTCGTATTATGTGGTGTATTTGTTCAATTGTGTTGTGGTTTTCTCTAAATCCGAATTGGTGGTTAGTTGTTATTCTTTCCTTATTTATGTAAGGCATCAGCTGATTGTACAGACAAAATACGATGCCAAAAGGTAGTAGATGACTACAAGAAGTACCGGGCTACTCTATCGAAACCCGCAACGGTGATGAACAGGGATCGGTCTCAGGACAAGACGACCCATATTTCAAGAAGCAAAGTTGCAAAAGCAACATTCTTTACTAAACCGCCAAGGAGCCCAAAAAGGGCATATAGCGACGTAGCAATTGATGAGCTATAGATGACGCTCATTGACGATATTACCGGCAATGGGAAAAAGGTACTGGAGAAATGGGATGACATTGAGTCCATGTTAGCTAAAATGGTGATGGAACACCTTTTAAAAAAACTAGATGCACCCACACCAGGCTTTGACTCATCAGAAAGGGTTCGTGGCTGCAATGTCGTCAAATGTGGTGACCAGTTATCCAAGGTATTTCTTAGCAACTGTATTGCTAAGGTAAGTGATGTATGGGACGGTTTAAAACTTAAGCTTATCCCAGCCAACGAAATTCCAAAGAGCCAGGGACCCGCATTTAGCTGCCAAGTATTAAAATGGAGCGCGGAAAAGTACTGTAACGAACCTTTCTGGCCGAGGATTTGTATGTGTGATAATATTCATGGGTAATTATCACCTTACCGATTAATCTCTTAACGAAATTGTTGGAGCAAACCAAAACATCAAACTTAACTGCTCCACCCTGTATATAAATTTTATTCATTTCGTAAATTCGCTGCACTTGCAGAGAGCAAAACGACCACTTTGCGCTTTGTTTTACTGTTGTGTTGTTGGAGAGTTGATACATGGTTCCCGTTTCAGCTGACACATTTTTTTACTGTGCGTGAATTCTACGGATATCCTTTTGAGTGAAAAGTAAATGATCAATTTTTTTTTTTAATAAATTACATATTTTACATTTGTTAAAATTACATTTGTTAATATTGCAAAAATTATATACTCTAAATTCACTATATTTAAGTTATAAAATTTAAATTTCCAATTTAAAACAATTATACATTTTACATAAATTAAATTACAAAATTATATACTCTAAATTTGGTGAAAATAATTTAATAAAAATTAAAGTTGCAATTGAATTCAAACATTTCGTTTGTTTTACTATTCGAGATTATTCAGAAATGTTGATTTCGTTATAAACACATAAGTAATAGAAATGTATATTTCTTTTGCTACTAACGAAATGTTGATTTCGTTACAAATAATTATTGTAATAGAAATGTGTATTTCTATTATAAAAAAAACAATGGTAACCGAAATGTAAGTTTCGGTTCTTGATGTTTTAGCACGTATGTTTGGAGCGATTTGTTCTCTAGCTGGATACCTCGCTGAATGTCTTTCTTGCGCTTTTGCTTCGCCTTTTATATCCGCGAGGTGCGAAGCATACAGAAATTTTGTTCTTGTAACTACAACGGTGTGTTGTTTACAAGTTTTTCTTATTGTTCTGGTGTTTTTATTTTATATTAAATTTGGTGGTGGGTTTTAACACTTGCTTTATCAATTTTGTTAGTGTTTTATTACATTTTGTGTTGTAAAATTTAAGAGTTATAAATTTCATGTTACAGTACTCCAACTTCTGCAACGACAAAACCTAAACATGCCAATGAATGACTAGGTAGTTATCAAGGACGCGGGCACCCAAAAAAACAACATGATGCTTCTTCTGGTGATAAACGAGGAATCAGTAAAGCCACTAAAAGAAATTGACTGTAAGCTAAGGTTTGGCGTATGGTATACGCAAATCAAGATCTTTCGCCCAACAGGTAATGATGATGGAGGTAAGGAGTTAGAGGACGCTAACAAATTGCTTGACGACATAAAGCTTCAGAAAGAAGCTTTAGAGGCTTCATAAGCCTGCTCGAATGCTGAAACTACCACAAATGAAATTTCAGCATTCGAAAATCACCTCAGATAAGTTCGTCATTGGGTTAATGCTGTATAGTAGGAACAATGGTACGCCAAGATCATGTATCCTATTTAAAAAATGAAGTAATGCATTTCTATGTCAACAGTATAGTGATAATGATATGACAGTCGTAAGGAACAAAATGCCAAGTGGACCAAATTTAATTGTGGCTTCTGCCTACATGGCGCATGATAGAAATGCTCTTTCGGAAGAAGTAGTCGCGCTAGTACACAGAAGTTTATCAAAAGATATTGCCATGCAAATTGGATGCGACACCAATGCGAGGCATACGCTTTGGGCAGTTGGGAAACTAATGGCAGGGGGGATTACCATTTTGATTTTATTAGCAATTCCAATATTTTAATTTGTAATAGAGGTAAAACTTCTTTTTTTCTGTTCCAGTTCACAGTGGTTTGCTGGATGGGAAGAAGAGCTTGATATATTTTAGTTAGTAATGGGAAAGTATCTGACAAGAAATCCTTTTCGGATCATAGTTGGATATTCTTCAACCAAATCATACCATCCATTTTAGAAACCCGAAGAAAATAAAATAGAACACTTTTAAAAGGGTAACTAAGGTGGAGCTTAATAGGATAAAACAAATCAAGATCGATTCTACTAGCGAGCTAGACGATAGGACTAATAATTTTGAGGCAGCTGTGCGACCAAAGGCTTTCCTTTGATCTGAATAAAAATGGTCACAAAAAAAGCAATTGTAAGAATCTCACCCACTATTCAATCTAGCGAAAAAAGATAAGGAAAAACACTCGACTTTCTTTAGCAAGAGTAAGCAACAAACTAAACTTTTTTATTTCTTAAAAAATTGCAGAGTCTCAACGAGTCTAGTTTAATATTTTGTTTTCGTAAAAATTATATTATTTTGAGTAAAAAATCAATCCAACTCCCGGCCTCCATGAAAGAACTTTCATACTAGAAGAAGTGCCAACTTATGAATGGGACGTCGCATAATGCACTTTGGCGTCTTCACCTCAACGACTCTCACACGATTATCTTTGCCTGGGATGACTGAAATTACTCTGCCAGTTATCCAATGTTGTGGTGGCATGTTGTCTTCGTGTGTGATCACTAATGCATTAACCTGAATGTTTGGTTGATCACGGACCCATTTAGTACGAGACTGCAACTCACTCAAATATTCTCGAGAGCATTGATGCCAAAAACGTTGCTTCACTGCGATAATGCACGACCATTCATCGTGATGATTTATATCATTTTCAGCAACAATAGCGCGTTCGGGTAAAGCCTTTAATGAGTTACCAATGATGAAATGTGCAGGTATCAAAGCCTTACAGTCATTTGGATCAGAAGAAAGTGGAGCTATCGGTCGTGAATTAAATATAGCTTCTACTTCAATCAGGGCAGTATTTAGTTATTCAAAAGTAAGATGCACATTAGCAAGGGTGCGATTTAAATGACCCTTTGTTGACTTCACTGCAGCTTCCCACAGACCGCCGAAATGTGGAGCTCTGGGAGGAATGAAATTAAAGTTTATATATTCATTAGAGCAAAAGTTAGTAATTTGCTGGCTAGTAATACAGGATGCATTTGAGGTAGCGAAGCTAGTTCTTGACGTCCACCAACCTTTAACAAGTTGTACCCAAACGTTTCACAAAAAGGGTTGAGAAATTTGCAAACACCTTGACCTTCTACTCCTTTTTTTACACGACGAATATCTTCAGCAAAATATGTTTGTTGCATGTTCCAAACTATACACCAAAACGCTCTTTCGAATGTAGTGGCATATTAACCATGACCACACACAATACGTTGTGTGCGATATTTAATGTGTCATACCAAACCAAAACACTCAAATATCAAGCATGACCGAGCAAGTATGATATAATTTATGAGTCAGAAATTTGACTCGTCTATTTTGTCATTTCTTTATGACAAAATATTTGTATGCATATTTAATTGTTCCAATATGCATTTGACAATTTGGATTGCGGCATGCTCAGCACATGAATTTGTATTAAGTGTTTCACAGATCATATTGCAAGCAATTGTACATGCAATATGATTTACCCTCAATACAGTTGGTCACCAGATGTGTGCCACTGTGAAGTAGAATATAATTGATAAATGTAAACTATTTTTGTTGTAAAACATTATATACGTCTAATTTGGGTTAACCAATTAGATGATAGTAATTTAAGTATTAACCAATAGAATCATTAGATAAGATTCTATTGGAAATTAGTCATAAGAAATTATGTTGGATTTAAGGTGAATATAAAAATAAAAATCAGTCTTAACATGACGAGCAAAACGGAAAGTTGTTTTATTTATTAATACAAAAATCTAACGACCAAATAAAATATAATCGTATTATTACATGGCGATCCTGCCAAAACGGCTATGGACCAAAAATTTTGAAATCCTAAATTGATAAAAACTCAAATAAAGGAAACGAAATAAATTTTAGTGACAATAATAAAGTGTAAATAAACATTAAATAAAATGTTTTTAAAAAAAAAGGAATTTATTTTAAATTCAATATTATAGTGAGAAAATGATAATTCAAAACAATAATGTCTACTGAAACATTCAGTCTATTACAAAAAAAAAAAAAATATAAATTTTAGTGACAATAACAATGTATAAATAAACTTTAAATAAAACGTTTTAAAAATAAATTTATTTAAAAATTTAAATTTAATATTATAATCCATTTGGTGAAAGTGAAAATTTTAGTGACAATAAATAAATAAACATTAAATAAAACGTTTTGAAAATGAATTTATTAAAAATTTAAATTCAATATTATAATCCATTTGGTGAAAGTGAGAATTTTAGTGACAATAACAATGTATAAATAAACATTAAATAAAACGTTTTAAAAATGAATTTATTTAAAGATTTAAATTCAATATTATAATCTATTTGGTGACAGTGAGAATTCAAAATAATAATGCTCATTGAAATAATTAATCAATTATCAAATAACTAAATTTTAGTGTCAATCACTAATGATTAATCAATATGCGAAGCGTTTTGAACATTAAGTTATTTAAAATTAAATTCATTAATTAAACAAATAACACAGACTCAAGTAAGCAGTAAACAAAGTACATAAAAAAGAAGACAAAATGGGGTGGTTCTCGAGCGACGAATACAACGTGGGAAATAAACAACAACAGAAGACCGATGTAACAAACAACATAAACAACAGCCAAACAACATCCTCAGGAAATTTACAGGTAGCACTTATTACGTTATTACTAGTAGCTTTAATTATATTCATTGCCTACAAGATAGATGAATACATTAAAAAATATGTACATAAACATGTACGTAGGAATATAGGCAATGATGTGTAAAATAAATTTAAAATATTTAAAAAAAAAAAAATATATGTAAAACAAATGCATAAAAATATTCCAAAAATTTTTTTTACACAAAAATTATGTAATTCAGATATACCTATGAAATTTTTTATTATATAATAAATATACACATAAATAATTACACTTGTTAAATGATAAGTAATAAAATGTAATTGTATAAATTTAAATTAAATTAAAATTTTTTTTTTAAAATAAATGTAATACTGAAAACATATAGATGGAACGTTGTAATGTTAAAGTTTATAATAACTGATGAAAATTATATGACTGTTGTATACTTGACTAGCTTATTATAATATTGATTCGTTGTCCCACTATTCTCTTGAAAGTTTTAACCCTATTGCTAATCTAATTCCACTCAATCGCTTTAACAATATTGTTGTCTCATGGACACAATCATAAAAAATCTAGGAGAGGTACAATTAATTTTTAACAACGCAAAGAAATCAAGTAGTAGAGGACACACTAGACAAAAAATAGAAAACAAATTACTTAGGTTAGAGAATCTAAAAAAAGAGGTGAATTCACTGTATATAACCTCAAAATTAGAAGAAACTGACATACTAAAAGAAAACTTTTTCCATAATTACAATAAAACAAGACTTTATTTAGTAAATATGTCCACTTCAGAAGACAATACTAGCAGCATAGACACTGCTAGCAGTAATAATTCTTCAGCAACATCTAACCAAACAACTAATACAGTCATGTCTACCCTTGTAGGACTCAATGTTGAGTATGTTGAAAAATACATACAGTACAAGCAGCTCAACCTAAAACATTTGAGGAAGCTAGGACGTTCGCCGAAAACTTGATTCTACCAGAGAATAAACAACAAGTTTTATATACACAACAACACCGTGGTCATTATACTCAAAAACGTTCACAGTATGAGGAAAGACCCCAATATCGAGTACATAATAGGTCATACGGTAATAGAGACGTAGGCTCGAACAACCGTAGATACAACAATAATAATGGTTACAGCTGTAATCAACAGAGGAATAATCGCGGCAACCATCATAGAGACTACAACATGAGGGTCAATAATCAACAGAGAGGAACTCAAATACAGAGGAACTCACATACAAACTTTAGACGCATTACCGTGGCAGTCATGCAGGAAAACTGCAGGCGACCGGAGGGAAACATGGAGAATTCACCTCTGGTATAAAGAAAAAGAAAATATATAATCTAAATAAAAATATCTCCAATTACATAAACATTTTTTGTATAAATTTAAACACCCATGTGAATCTACTTATTGACACTGGAGCAGACGTCTCCATAATAAAAAACAAATTGAACCTAATGTACGACTCCAAAACCACATGTAAATTAATAGGTATAACAGACAATTATAAGTCATCTTTAGGCATCTCGACAATTGAAATGGATTTTGAAGGACAGTTAGTAAAACATGAATTTTCTGTAGTGGAAGAAGATTTCCCTATCGAACTTGACGGTATAATTGGAAGAGACTTTTTAACGAAATACTTTTGTAATATAGACTATTACAATTTTTCTTTTACAATCACGATTAATAGGCAACACATAATAATACCTATTCAATATAAACCGATAATATTATCTGCTAGAACAGAAAATATATTACCCATAGATATACGACTTAAAGAAGATACGCTACTGATTTCGAAAGAAATCGATAAAGGTGTCTTCATAGCAAATACTATAGTGCCAGCTAGTGGTAACTGTCACATACGTATAATTAATACAAACGAATATGATGTCACTCTCAATAAATTGAATATTGAAAGTCATTCTTTAAGCCATTATGACTGCATTAACAATAGATATATACCAAATAATGATAAAGATAGATTTCAAAAAGTTCTAAGTAAATTACAGTTAAATACTAAACAAATATGTGATAGTGAGAAACTTACCTCACTAATAAAAAAATACCAACATATATTTCATTTGGAAGGTGAGCCTTTAACTCACAACAATTTCTATTCAGAACATATATCTACCACAGACAATGTGCCCATTTATATTAAGAATTACAGACTACCTCATACCCACAACTACGATATCAAGTTACAAGTAAACAATCTTTTAAATGATGATATTATTCAACCATCGAAAAGTCCTTATAATTCTCCAATACTACTGGTACCCAAGAAATCTACTGACGACAACTAAAAATGGCGCCTAGTGATCGATTACAGAAAACTCAACGACAAAATAATTAATGATAAATTTCCGCTAACACGCCTTGAGGACATATTAGACAGACTTGGAAGAGCTAGATACTTTTCTACTCTAGACATGACTAGTTCATTCCACCAGATACCAATAGATAAGGTATCTCGCCAAAAAACAGCATTCTCAACGACGGATGACCACTACGAATTTAAAAGACTCCCGTTTGGATTAAAAATTAGCTCGAATAGCTTCCAACGGATGTTAACTTTAGCGTTAACAGGCCTCGACAATGAAGCATTTTTGTATGTAGACGACATTATCGTCTTTGGCAATAGTCTGAAACATCACAATTTAAATTTAGAAAAAGTATTTCAGAGATTAAGCGAATATAATCTCAAATTGAACCCAGAGAAATGTAACTTCTTAAAACACAAAGTCACATACCTAGGACATCTAATAACAGAGCAAGGCATTAAGACGGATCCACTAAAACACAAAGTGATACAAGAGTATCCAAAACCAACAAACCTTGACGATGTGAGACGATATGTTGCTTTCTGCAATTATTATAGACGTTTCATAAAAGATTTCGCATTGATTGCAAAACCACTAAACCTTCTTCTCAAGAAGAACCAAAAATTTCTATGGACCAAAGAATGCGACAATGCATTTGATACACTCAAAACTATACTAATAAGTCCCCCTGTTTTAAGATATCCAGATTTCAACAAACCCTTTCTAATTACAACTGACGCCTCCGGCTTTGCACTTGGAGCGGTACTATTACAAGGTGAAATCGGTTCAGATTTACCAATATGCTACGCAAGCAAAGCCCTACAAAAATATGATCTGAATAAACCAGTCATTTGATATCTTTATTCGTACATAAGAATGACTCGTCAAAGATGACAAGGATTCGGGTAGACTTATCTAATTACGATTTTGAAATCATTTATAAAAAAGGAAACATAAATACTAACGCCGATGCCTTATCTAGAATCAAAATAGATTCTAGTATATTACAATCACTAATACAAATAAAAGATGACACGACCGCAACACGTAAATTATCTAATCCGGTAGAAGAAGAAATATTGAGTAAATTGAATAACGAAGCTCGAATATGTATAACTCCTCGAAGCAAATCAAAAAGCGCTAAAACAAATACAACTAATACGGATA